CAAAGCCCTCCTCCTCCTCAGCAGCTGTGGAAATGTCCTGCTTAGTGAATAATCCCGACTGCACTTCCCAGCCCCCGGTTATTTTTCACACTGCAATGCATTTGCCACCTCTTGACGCAGCACCTAAACAAGCCAGGGAATATTGGATGTGCCTGCATTGTTCCTCATTCTTTTCCCTGCCTCGATTGCTTCCAGATGGCACCACGCTACAATGGCTCCATTCATTCCTCCCTGGAAGGCCCAGAGGGCGGCAATGGACAACCTTCCCCCAGAGCCCTCGTTCCTGCAGGCATGGAAGGGACCACATTCATCCTCATCACATTCATCCCCAGTCCTGACATGGGAATGTTTGCAAAGGGTAATAAAAACTCTGTCAAGAGGTTACTGATGATACCCAAGTCAGTATTCCTTCTTCCAGGGACACGGGGAGAGTCATCTTGGATGCGGTACAATACTTCCAGGATATTGAAACCAAAACTCCAGCTCAGGTGACATGGCACAGATGGGCCTCAAAAAAGAAAGGCCATTCTGGGGAAGAAAACATCATCCCTCAGCTGACACAATTAACTACTGGATCAAAGAGAGGGGAGTCACACAGGGAAGGATGATAGAGAAGAATTTGAGAGGGGCTGAAGCAGTTAACTGTGCCTTCTGACACAGCAGGGCCTAAAAGCAACAAGGAACTGGTGCCAAACTTCCACATCCCTTGCTTTTCAATGGCTTACTTTCCCTACTTTTGAGATTTAAATAAATTGAAGGTAGCCATGTTTTTGACAAAAGCAGGAATAACAACAATCCACCAAGTACTTAAAACCTTTTCTCTTACTCCTTCCATTGGAATGTCTCAGGGGAGTTTGTAAGTATGAACTTCTCAAGTGGTGAAGTACATTTCTACTTATTTTACTGAGGTGGAAATGGTAGCAAAGGACAGGTTTGGCTACTTGTCCAATAGGTCACAGAGGAAATTTTTGTCAGAAGTAGAAAGGGTTTCTCAGCATTAACCTGGAGCCTTCAACATAGTGAGAACATCACTGGATGTTCTTTGGGGTTTGGAGAAAAGAGGTGCCAGTGCAGAAGTTTGGCCAACAGAGTCTGGAATCAAACAAGCCCTGACAAGCAGGTGCTGTTCAGGCAGCTGATGGGCCATGGGGAACTGCAGGAGCAAAGAACATCACACTTCAGTGGGATGTGCACTTCTTAATTTAGAAGACAAAAGCTTAACAATATCCAAAGGCTGGCAGTTGGCTCCTGAAAACGTCCAACTGGAAACCAAGCACATCTCTCTGACCGCTTTGCACCGCTGGAATGAGAACAAAGCTCCCCAGGCCAGCAAGGTAAAGCCATCGGACCAAAAAGAACCCAGCTCAGGAAGCTGTGCCTCCTCAGGAGTGCTGGAACAACCCTTTCCAACAAAATGCCGCCCAGATCCTGGAGGTAAGTTTGCAGCTTCAGAGAGGATTCAGCAGGAGGTGGGATAACGTGTGGCCCAGCTGAAAATTGGGCAGCAGGGACACCACGGTGGCTGCACTGGGCAAAACTCCCCAGGGCTCAGCCCAGTCACTTCTTGTCAGTGGGTGAAACTGGAGCTTTGTCCTTGGGGGGTTTTTTAGTTTAATTTTTTTTCTTTTTGCTGCTTGTGGAAATGTGAAACAGTTAACAACCTTGTTTCAATAATATGCAATTCTGAGGGAGGAAAAATTGGGGACCTAAGGAACCTGCCTTTTTTTCCTTCCCTTATTATAAAGTCATTTTTCAAATCACCTTTCTGACACATTTGTCCATATTGATTAGCTGCTTTCAGAATGACATTGTCTGACCTGTCTAAATCCATCAATTGCTCTCCTGCTGATGCTTCATTCCCAGGCTACTTTAGCTTCTAATGGTATGGTATGAATATTATTCATAAAGTCTTTCTGCTGAAAAGATCAATAATCACATACATCTTACGTTTGCATTCTGGGTGTTGTTCAAGAAGCCCTTTAACTGGCCACAGACTCCTCTATTTCCCTTTTATCACTGCAGACTGTAAATGTTTCATTAGTAGCATTTAGAGAGTACATACTTGATACTATATCCCCAGGAGTTTCAAGTGAGTTATTAGGAACTTGTTCAGCATTAGGATTAATGCATATTCCCAGTAGCTTTCATTGCATTTCCATTCCATGTGCCACAAACTCTACTGTTAAATATGTTTTGTCCACTTAGGAACTGTTTGGTAGGGAAGGCATTGCCTTAATTGTTCCCAAGACATTGGGTAATGCTCTGCTGATGGGCCTAAGGTTGAACTAATAGGCAAGTAAGATGCAGTTTAGCTTCAGCAGGTTTTAAAGTACTAATGAGGCACAATATAATGAAGTTAAGAACTTGTCAAGACAGGCAGTTCATATAAAAAGTTGAAACAACCTTTACTTTTTTTTTTTTTTTTGCTTTAAAAAAATCCAAGATTATCCCAATGCTGAGGGGATTTATTCAAGTTAAATATTTTCTAGATTATTAGAATTTTTAGGAAGGGCTTTTTAGAACTTGATGCCCTAGCTGAGTAAGGGGCAAAATGTATCTGTCTGACTATCAGCAGGTCAAATATGCTTGTAAAATACAGAGTTTTTAGTTTGCAGAAAGGGTGAGTTGGATATTGTATATTCCAAGCTGCTTTTTATGCAACTGCTTGTCTATATTTAGCAGCTTGGCAGGCTGGGAAATTTTAGAGCCTTAAAAGACCAAATACTGACTAGTCACCATTTTAACTTTATGGCATTTTCCTGGAAGAACAAAAATGCAACATTCTAGGTATTTTAGTAACTACAGGATTGATTGGAACTTCATTGGATTTTAACTACTGCGTGCCAGGCTGTTGTGCTCAGCGACAGAAAATATTTCATTTTCATTTTCTGACATAAAAGCCTAAGTGTCCTGCTGCTGAGATGTATCAATCAAACCAGGGGCTCCAATGGAATATTATCCTGATGCTGGGATGAGAGGGAAAACGATGCTTTAGTTCCCAGTCAATCGGTACCAAATGTCTTCCCAGGCACTAACAGGCTCCTGCACACCCTTGAGCAGAGCCATTACCTCAGGGTTCATAAAGTGGAACACAGCACTCCTCACAATGCTGGGGGATTTTTTTTTTCCTTGAGAACATAAAAATGTTGCTTACATTGAAAAGGGAAGATTCCAGCTCGCTTTGAGAAGGTTCATTTCCAGACAGGCGTTGCAGACAATTAAAGCCCAAGTGTTCTGTGGACAGTGCTGTCTCACAGATGTTGGGAGAAGGGTGATAATCTGCCCAAAACCTTTTTTTTTTTTTTTTTATAAAAAGCATTGGAGAGCTGCAGCAGTGGGTAGGGACACTGTAGACTTCACATTAAGTTTGGGGGTTTTTTTGTGACCACCTCTCTGGCCAGGAAGCTCATGATTACTGTGGATAAGTGAAATGAAGTATTCCCTGCAGTTGAAAAGCTCTAACAATTTTAATGCTGAGGAATGAACAGAAATGTTTAATTAATAAACATCCCGGCTTATATTACACTTACACCTTAACTGGGCTTTTTCTTTCTAACTTAGCTGCACGTGGTTCTGTAGTGCCAGGCTTTACAAATTTAATACCAGTGGACAGGACATCCCCCAGGCACCACTTCAGTAGCTCACTGAACTGTGGAGCACAGATACTTTTCTTCCACGAGAGCTATTCAGTCAAATTTCCTCAGTCAGCTGAAATATTCAAATGAAAGTTGCTGCTGCAATTACAGAAAAACAGAAGTTTGGGGTTGGTTGTTTTTTTCTGTGTCTTGCTTGTAGTAAAAGAATAAAAAGATGACTGAACTGCTTAAACGATAGAAGAAGAAAGTATGACCTGCAGGGAGAAACCCAGTCTGGGGGAAAAAGGAATGGAAAAAAAAGAGTCCAAAAGATGAAGTGCTCAGGCTCCAGGCCACTCTGCTGCTGATTTCCAACCACTTGGTGTGGGAACGAGAATTTCCCAAAAGGCCTCTGTCACTCAACCAACCCAAATTTGACTTTTTGCACCTCTCAGTACCAGAATCCTTCAATCCACGGCGTAGCCAGGCAAAGGCTCCACTTCACAGGAATGTGGCATCTTCTTGAGTGACTGTCCCAGTACAAAAGGTGCCTTTTGCACCTGGAAGCCCCAGAAACCATTTCTGCCCATGCTTTTGACGCTTCTCCTGGCCCACTGCCAGCTCCTCCTGCACGCAGCCAGTGCCTAAATTTTCCTGACCCAAAGATCTGAGCCTGCTCTGGCATCAAGGGGCAAAACCTAATCAGTGAATATTTGCTAGATTTTGATGGTAAGAATTGCTTCTTATCTTTCCTTAACGAGTTGCCCTTCTGTGAGGGAGATGTGAGTCAGAAACCTAAAGAGGCACAAACGAGCCTCCAGAATTGGACCCTGACTGTTGCTATCAAGAATATTTGGTACCACCACCATGGTAAACATTTCCCTCCCCCACACAATTACACCTCAGCACTTTGTTTTTGCTGACCCTTCCCAAGCCCATCTCCTCTGCAGCTTCTCCTCCTCTAAGTCAGTTTGAAAGTGCTGCTGTGCTGGGCTTCACCCCGACCCAAAGGACAAAAATCACTGTCTTGCCAGGAATGCTGCAGCTATTGTGGTGGTTAACACTCACCCCTTACTTCTGCCCACCACATCATGTTTTTTTTTCTGGATAAAGCAGCAAGGAAGAGAGGGAGAAATCCAAGGAAAGCAATTGTTCTGCAGGCTTGCTGCAATACAATTTCTGATGCTTTCTGAGTAAGGCTTCCTTTAATATAATTGTTGAGATTTTCACAGTAATATCCCTTTTTTGCTAAGTGAGGTAGATAATATTGACAATGCTGCCAAGTAATTACACCAGCAAAGCAAATCCATGGCATTGTGCCCCTACAATTCCTCCTCTGGCTGCCCAGCATGCAGCTCAGCAAGCAGAGATACAGGCCACTGACAGTAGAAGAAATTGCTTTATTTCTTAATTGTGAAGCTGCAGGTTCCAGAAATGCCACTCACACTTGCAACGCTTCCCAAATAAATAATTGATGGCTTTATAGCTCAGCAGTGTTACCACAAGAGCACAGAATGCAGAGGGGAACAGGCACTTGTTGACACTTGGTGCAGTGTGTTGGCAACTCAGTGGAGGCCAGACAAGCTTTGGTCATGTGGTTCCTTCCCTCACCAACCATTTGATCAGAGCAGAGGCTGAATTAGTTGTGGGAACTTGCTCTATCCCTGATGAAAAGGAGCTCATAAAAACACTTGAGCCCAAACTTATATTTTTCCCCCCAAATTGATGCCTATGATTTGGTGACATTCAGGGTGACAATAAAAAAAACTCTGGAAGTGAGTAAACAACAGCCACCTCCTGCATAAGCTCGTGCTTTAGGGAAAGGTTGTAAACTCCAGCTCTCACAAAGTCCTCACCAGTACAGGAGCATGGAAGCCTTTTTTCTTACGCATACGGACTGACTCAAGAGTTTTCTTCAGCTGGGAATTTAATTGCTCCCAATTTTCTAACATAAATTACATTATAATTTACTCCGGTTAATAAAAGGTAAGGATTTTTTACCATTTATTTTGGTAGGAAAAAGAAGTTACAATTAAAGTTACAGTTATCTGCCCAACTACTCTCTACCACTCTTCTAAAGGAAGATTAAAAACAAACAACCAAGCTCCCCAAAAAATCAAGACCCCCAAGGATTTCATTTTCAGCAACGGGCTGAGCTGTGCAATTCCTACAAAACTCATCATCACTGACCTCAGGACACCTCTGATGACATTCCATGTTTTCCTACAGCAACCACCTTTGCTGTATTCTGATTTATATGTAGAACATTGCAGAGTTTGGAATCGGTCCACTGTAACTGACCACTTAAATTATTGGGTCCTTACTTATTTGAATTATTAGTTCAGATTAATCGAAGAAGTTTGTTCCCAAGCCAGTGCTGCTCTTTTAGCCCCAGAGAACCCGAGCCAAATAGTACCATTCTTCAGAGTAACAGAGACAAAATTTTGGCTCCCTGTCTTTAATTTTTATTTTTAAAAGTTATAAATATTGCGTTAAGTGGGTTATATTATAGACGGTGATCTCTTTAATTTCCACTCTTTTTATGGTCTGTTTTTTGGTACAACAGTTGCTGCCTTTTCACTCCCAGCAAATCAAGCCCCAGAATTTAAAGTGAGATCTGTATATAACTATATATACATATATGTATATATGTGCTATAAAAACTACAGCACAAATATCTGCATATGCTGCGTGTTTTAAACACATTAATCTACGGCTCTGAAAATATCCAGTATGTGAGCATTCTACTTTTAGGTCCATGGTATTTAAAATGGCTAAGGCTGGCTTTTTGCATCGCACATGAGGCTTTTTTCTGTCGGAAAAATAATAACTGTAAATCTGTTTTCTCATGCCCAAGTAGTCCTTGATGAGACACGTAAGGAAACGCGGTGCGGATTGTCATGAGCGGAGCAATAATCATAAAATTAGAAACAAAAGAATGAGACAGAACAAAGCCCTTTTTTTTTTTTTTTAAAGATTCTAAATCACACACAAAACATTTGTTCTGCTCCAGCTCTTTGTGAACTAATTGGCTCTCCTGGAGGGACAGGTAATTGTACTTGACTACACAAGCTGTCCTGAAGCTCCCTTGGAAAGCTCCAGTAAGCTTCCAGTGTTAGCAGCCATCAAGGATTTCACAGGTCAGGCAGCGGATCGATACAGCTAAAAGCAGCAGGGACTGCAATGTCGACAGCAGGTTTCAGAAAACGCTGCAAGTGCCAGTTTGTTCCCCTTCATGCAGAAGCTCAAGACAGCTTAATTAACCCTTGGAAAATACAATTTATCCAGAGGCTCTGCGGGTCTGTACTGGGCCTTATTGGTGAGCTGATAGCGGAGATAGTGTAGCTGGCAGCTCTGAATTCCCATTTCCCCCTCGTGTGCTGTTGCAGTCGGGATGCAAACAAAGCCTGGGTTTGGGAGGATGTTGCCCTGTCCTGAGGAGCTGCTCCAGGAGCCCACGGAAGCAGCTGCTTTGTTAGAAGCTGGTGAGTGCAGCAGGAGCCCGGCCCGGCAAAGCATTGATCACTCACGGCCTGGGCTGTGTGTGTGTGTGTGCAGGGAAAAAAGAGAGAGGGGGAAAGAGTCATCTCCCACAGGTCTAAATGCTTCTTTGCCCTCTTGTAAAGATGTTCCCTTGTTAGTTGTCTACTTTTACTGTCTTTTAATACCACATGGCCATGAAAAGTACAGACAAGGTAATTTTCCACATCCCAAAACACCTACATTTTAGAAGACAAAGAACTTGCCAGGGGTGACAGACCAGTAAGAAGTGAACTTGTCTGATGTGATATTCAAATTTGTGTCTCCAATGTCAGGCCAACAGGCTGAAGGGTTTTTCCTTCCACAGCTCTTTTCAAGCTAAGGAAATCTTCTAAGACATGCAGAGAACAACTAAGAAAGAAAAAATATTCGAGTCACTGAGGCTTGGCAATTTTCACATTGAAATCTGCCTGTGAATTCAGGTAAATTATTTATACTATTAACTACTTTAAAATATTAACTATATTTCCATTAGTTTTTAATGTGTATTATTTCAATTAAAGCATGTAAATGTATCTTGCTCAGTTTACATTTACTTCCTCTAATGGATGAAAACCTGCCCCTTTTGTTTGGGAACAGTGAACTCTCCCTGGAGGAAGCAGGGCAGACACCACTTCCTTTCCACTGCTTTGTTACTGTTTCTGGTGGTGAACTGAGGAACATTAGGCAGATAAAATCAAATCAGAAGTTTGATTTTTATGTGTGTGTGCACAGATCGTTGCATACACTCACACGTACACTTGAAGACTTGTGACATTACCTGTGCAGCTCTGAATCCACATTTTCATCTTCAATAACCACTCAAGGCACAGGAATTTATGATGAAAATGCTGAACAACAAGCAGTGAGGATTCTAAAAAAGCAAAAGCAGGCCAGACTATATTTATGATTCTTGTATCAACACATTCAGAAAAATGGCACACAAAAAGCCCTTGACAGAATTATTCAATGTATCTATGTCACAGTCCCCCTGTCCAAGGAACTAGATATTAATTTTTCAGGATAGCTTGTAGGAGACACTCTGCCAGAGGGAGAGGAAGATGCTGCTTGAAGGTCTGCAAGCAAAGGGTGATGACAGACACTTGACACATTCCAACCTGGGGTTTTCCTACCTACTGGGGAGCCAGGAGGGTCTGGGATGGGTCCCTCTCACATTTGTATTAATGACAGGCAAGAAAAAATAAACATTGTGGATGAAGAACTTGGACTTCCTCCTGGAAAGGGCAGTTTCACATGAGCGAAACCATCTTCAGCACAAGCACATTGCACTCTCCACGAGAAGAGGGTTTTGCAGATGAATTGGCAACAAAAAAAGACATAAGTAGGTGACAGAAAAGAAATTTTATGGCCACTTACACCAACTGCAAGTCTGTCTCCAGAATCTGAGAAAACATCCTACTGCTTTAGAAGTCTTTCCTTCCAGCTTGGACTCCAACCAGAACACGCTTGGAAAGACCACAGAATCCAGCTGGCTATCCAAGATTGGTGACATCAAGAAGGATAAAAGAAGCATTGCTAAACATGTTATCAAGCTTAGGAAAGCTTGAAACTGGACTGAGATATGTGAAAGAAAGATTTATGATTACTGCTCGAATATCATTAAATAAATGAAGATTTCTGACTTCAGAGTACACGTGTATGTCCATGGAAAGGTGCTGAGGTGCTCAGGGATGAAAGGAACTTTCTTTTTCTACCTCTGTTTCTGTTTTTCCTGTTACATTATCTTTTTATCTATACTGCCTTTTTACTTCTGTTTTTTACTGTTTTGGGGTTATTTTGCATTATTTACCACTGTAAGGACCTGATCTCACTGGAACCACAACACAGCAACATCTGACCAGCTGTGGGGTGTGTGACAACAATCTCAACATTTGTAGTTAATGCCACAATATTCTTTTGTGCTTATACAGGAGGTACAGACCCTCAAGGAGAGCCCTGCTCTGACATATTCCAAGCAGTGTTATTCATTAGAATCTGTAAGAGCAAAATCTAAATCTGACACACCTCCAAAATTCCATTTTAATAATATCAACAAAGAGTTTTACAGCCCCACAATACAATTTAAAAACTAAATCCTCCTGTTAATTATCAGGCAGTGCAGGCTCTCCAAGGTTGAGTACCTATTTCTGTTTAAAGGTCGACACTGTAAGTGCTCTAAAATCCACACACTCGCTCAAATTGCCTTGAAATTTGGTGTGTTCCCGGGCATCCCAGGCGAGGTTACACTCACAGGCTTAGGGGCACATTTGCCTGGGCTTTTCAAGATATGCCTGAAAAAACAGCTTTTCCTGAGTGATAAAATGCTGATAAACTGGTTTTTCTATTCTTGCATATCCTTAGTGGGTCAAACCACAGCTTTATACAATGTTTAGATGTTCTTAACATTCAGCATTTGGCATCCTGAGGAGGTCAGTGTCTAATTCCCAGCCCTGAGAGATTACAGAACATATCAGGATTCTGAAATCAAGAGTGGCTTCCACCTTACTGACCAGCTTTAAAATGAGTTGGAGGGTACAAGAGGATGTATAAAATTAACCTACTCTGTGCCTGGTGGCAGTTTTCCCTTGATCCTGCAAAGGAATTCTGAAAACCAGCTGGGTTGGTATTGTCAGTGATGCAAAAACCTTCGACAACAAAGACATATTTTATCACGTGGGGTAAATACAATTAAAATATTTTTTAAAAAGCAAGTTACACACACGAATTCTTGCTTTGAAGGCCAGGGAAACCAATGAGGGAAGGTCACAAGACTGCAAAGAACTTGAGGAGATAAAGGAGGAAGGGGATGAACAACTCTAATGCTCTTTTTCTGCTCTCTTAAATGTGATTCAGAGGCTCCTCCACAGCTGGTTCAGGTCCTGGGGAAATCCTGTTCCTCTGGAAAGAAAGGATGGCTGTCCAAAAGTATGTCCTATCCACAGGAAAGGAACAGAATTTTAAATCAGTGAAAACCAGGATATCCAAAATAAGATAGCTGCCTAGAGAGAAAACTCTCTAGGGTGGGTTGGCCAGACCTCACAAATGACTTGGATAAAGACTCAGGGAACAAGGCCACAGCAGTAGGCTAATAAAAAGTCATCAGGTTCCAAAAAAAAAAGGGATTTATTACTTTATTTCTAAAGGGATATTGGCTCAATGAGACAAGAGAAAGGGCCTAGAAATTGTGACTGAGGAGACTCAATGTTTTTAGGAAAGTTACAGAAGACAGACTCCCTCACTACTTTTATACTGCATATTTAAAATTCCTGTAGCCATCCCACAATGAAAAAAAAAAAAACACAACACCCAAATGTTGGGCAATGTGTCATATTTGTGATTTCTCTGTTAGTAAGCAGGAATTTCTGATTACACAAAGCATCTGCTTGCTGATGGTGTTGTGAGGAAAATATGGTGGAGCTGATGACCAGACGCTGAGTTATTTCCCTGCAACAATTTGCTGAGGGGCTGTCTCAGCTCATCGGGGGAAGGAGACTTGAGCTTTAATGTTGTTTAAGCTCAAAAAGTCTTAAACTTGTGCCTGTCCCTGTGTATATAAAAGGAAGAGCTCATTTGTGCTCCCTGCAATGGGATCAGTTTGTTTTTATTGAGAGCTTTGGAACTGGCAGTTTGAAAGAGTCATAGGCCCCTCCTTTTCCACCTTTACATGCCTGTAATGCTACCACACAAAAAAAAACCCTCAAAAACAGTTTGTACATTCTTATATATGTGAAATAGGGTGTCTGTGTATCTGCTTTAATCAGTAAAAAGTTCCAAACAGTGGTTTAAAAGATCCCCAAACTGTCAGTGTGGTGGGGCTGAATTAACTTAGAATTTCAGGTGAAAACAGTACTTGAAGAGAAAGTACCCCAAAAGGAATTTTCCCAGAGGAAACTTTGCCAGCACCAAAAATGGGTCAGTTGAGTTTGTGCTTGTACAGTGTTTAGTCTAAGAACTCTTGATATGGGTATCACTTATTGTAAGTGTGACTTTTTCTGTCACTGTTCCAGAGAACAGTGAAAATCATTATATAACCTTTTGGATTTGTCCTAATTAGATTTTTAATATTTCATTCATGTATTTCCCTGATGTATCACATAAAATTCAGGCAAAATAAAAGCTTACCAAGCCATAAATTCACTCCTTTTAAGTTTTGTCTTTTTTAAGTTCAGTGTCTTAACTCTTCTAACCTTTCATCACCATCATCCACATAAGGCCAAATGATTCTGGAAAGCCAAAAGGCATCAGGAAGGTCACCAGAGCCATGAAAACTGTCTGCTATTGCTCTATCCCAGAATGGGGAGCCACAGAGGAATGGCACAGAATAAACATGGATTTAGGTCAGGAAAAATCACCCTCCTGCTCCTCTTGCTGCCAGAGAGAGAGAGAGAAGAGAGTCTTGCTACTCCTGAAAGAAACTTTTAAACTCCCTTTGCAGCAGTTTAGAAGATCTGGCTTAGACACTCCATGAGAACTAATTTGCTTTTCCAATCTAGCCAAAATACACCAATGCCCAGCCACAGCCCTGAGAAGGGTCATGGTTGGTGATTTTACACAGAGCAAAGGGATTTTTCCATAAGAAAGGTTGTAGCTGAAGGGGATGGAGTCCAGGACTTCAAAATGAAGCACCATTCAAATGCACAGAGTCAGTATTGGAAACAGAGGATCTTTCCAGTTCCTCTTGCAACACTGCTCATAAAAGCAGGACCTAAATGGTGGGAAAGGAGGAGAGGCTGCTATGCAGCCACCTGGGTGATGCTCCAGGTATTTCTGTCAGCATTGGTGAGACACATAAACATTCATTAAATATCAAAAATACTGAAAGCTATTTTCTCTCTTATTTTAACATAAAGAAGTTCTCATCAGGCACTTCACTGCAGCTGGGTGGCTCAGGCAGTCTGTGTCTGAAGGGAGAAGGAAGGAAAAAGAACGAGAATGGGATGATCAGCAGTCAGCCCCTGACACGATGGCTGGAGAAGTCACCCACACATTTCTGCACAGCCACAACAGCTCACAGAGCCAGAAGCCTCTGCTAACACCGAAATTTGTTGCTCTAGGTAACTACCCACAGGGGAAGTTAGTCCCAGTTTTCCCTTCAGAGGTGTTGTGGCTCCATTCCCTGAGCTTTTTAAAGGCCGGCCCAGGGAAACAAGCATATGGAAGAGGGTTTTTTGCCTTGCTAGGAAGAACACGAGGACCATATGGTTAGAAAGGGACAGGCTTCAGCTCTTCTGTCAGCGTGAGGACTGTGCACACTGCAGCACAGAGTAAAGCTTCTGAAAGCTGTGGGAGAAAATGGTTAGTGTGAGCTATTAACTTGGTAATTTTCTGCATGTGCTGGGCAAGGATCCTGGGAAATAGCAGGACTCTCTCTGCGGTCACAGGGACTGTAAAGCAACCCTCAACAACTGCTTAGAGAGGAACCTGGTTTAAATCTTGAAAGCCTGGAATCACTTTATTTAGTCAGCAGTGGGGCAAGAGATGATTTAGAAATAGCTTCCTGGTGCGTCTGGAAATACATCTGTATTTCATCACAGAATGGAACAAACCCGGCGTGTTCCGATGCAGGAATGGGGTGTGTGGATGATGTGTTCATTACAGGTACAAATTAGGAAGCTCCTTTGGGAAGATCAGGCTGTTCTGAAGGTCACTGTCAGGTCAGGTTTACTCCAAAGCAGCTTCTTTTTACAAAACCTGGAACTAACACACTTGTACAGGCTGGGCTTTTGTTCAGCTGAGTTTACGTTTGTGTTTTGCTTTCTAATTTCAGAAGAGCCCCAAAGTCAGGCTTTCCTTTTGTGTCTCTACAACATTAAGGACTTCACGCTGCAGTGTCACCCCTGGGCAGAGCTGCCCCGTGCCATTGCTGTCACTCTG